GGTAGGGGAGTGGTAGCAGATAGCCTTCAGGCTGGCTGATATTTTCATCCACTTAGATCCACTAAGAAGTCCAGATGGGGATGGGAGGACCTGGAGGACTGCTGCAGCCAGAGCTAAGGTGGCCTCCAGTCCACACTGACCATGGAGGGTAGGAAGGCACCATCTCAACATCATTTGGAAAAGGATACCACTTCTTCTTTTTACTGATGCTAACCACTCCACTACCACCACCACCACCACCACCACCACCACCACCACCACACACACACACATACACACACACACATACAAAGGGCTGCACTGGCACAGCCCCCACAGGCACACACCCCTTGGCAGGAGGTGGACACAATGCCTGAGGCCCTAACTGGTCTAAGAGGAAGACAGGCTTCCTTCAACTGTGTCCCCTCCCCCAGTCATGAAGGGCTCCTGCCCTGAGAGAGCCTGTGCATTATCCCCAGCTGGAAGACAGATAAACGGCGAGGGGCCCCATTTTCAATGAAAACCTCTGCCTGAAGATCTTTTGGCTGACTCTGCATTTTGGACCCCAGGAAAGGCAAGGCTAGGCTGCACCCCCTCCCCCTAGGCTGTCCTTCCTATTGTCCAGGGAAAGAGTGGGAAGCAGAAAGGGAGGATGCCTAAGCCTGAAAACTGGAGGAAGCGGCAGAGCAGAGGAAGAGGAGAAAGACACACACCCCTCCTCTGGGCCTCCTGCCCAGGCTCCCCTGGGCCTAGGCTCCCCCAGACAGGGAGGAGGGCACTTCCCTATCTAGACTAGTACCCTGCCAACATGTGGAAGGAAAATCTGTAGCCACCTTTTAGATTCCTGTCCTAACTCCTCTATTGATTGTTTCCAACTTTCCTGCCCCCACCTCGCAAATTGCAACAAAATATGAATAAAGCTGTGGCTTTTTACACTCTGTTCCTTCAGAGTCTGTCTGGGGATGGGAAGAGGCTGCAGCCTGCTGAATTCTACAAGCTTCTGGGCTGCAGGGGGCAGAGTAAGGGGGATGGGGGTGTGAACAGATTGTATCCAAAGCTTCCAGGACAGGATGGAGATCTGGCCTAGGCCTCTTATCTCTCTCCCTGTAGTTTCAGGATCCAAAACAAGTAAAGGAGACTTGGAGAGGGTGTCCGTCCCTGCGCCCCCTGTCGGGAGAAGCCTAGAGGTTGATCCTAAGGCTAAGCCAGTGTAGACAGAATTCAACAATGGCACTGAACCCCCTTCAAACCTCCCAGCTCTCCAGAGTAGCCCCCACGGTTTCATCCCAAAGCTGCCTATCTGGATGGTGGAAAACAGGCATGTTTTATGACTGCTAGGATGGTTCTGCCTGTGCCTGAACCTTGCATCCTGTGTTCTCTGTAAATGGGAGTAAGGTGCCTCTCCTGGACTGCCCAGATGAAGATTCATAAGACACAGACAAAGCCCTGACCCACAGTAGGTACTCAGCAGCCTCCCAAGTCCACAGAGTCACATGCCAGGCACACATCCACCAAGTGAGTACCCTAGTGATCTTGCATAACTGGATCCTTTTAGGCAGGTTCTAGTAATGGCCCTGTTTTACATGCTCCAAAGATAAGCACATATTAAGTGACACAGCTATCCAACTTTTTACCTTGAAGTCCATGGAATTTCCAAGTGCATAAGAAAAAAAGATTGGCTACTTCTCCCTGTGGCCAAGAGGAGACATTAGAGACCTGCTCTTCCTAAACACAATCTGAAGGTCACACCCCCTTAAACCTTTAAACCAGGACACCTCTGCTCTAAATCCATTGAACTCCAGCCCACAAGCTGACAAACCCCTCCAACTTTGGATTTGATTCTCCCCAAACACACTCAATTCTAGAACCCTCTTACCCAATATACACAAGCAATTAATCCCCCTTCTCAATGTACTCAGCCTTGACCCCCTCCCCACAAAACACACAACCCTGACCCTCCACACACTGCACACAGAATCCTAAGCCACAGTAAACACCAGGCCTCAGAGTCAAAGCACCAAAGGGAGAGAAGACAGGCTACTCTGGGGCCTCCAGCCTGGTTCCCTGGGAGACCTCAGCAGGACAATAACCCAGCCCTCCCCAGACTGAACCTAGAGAGGCCTCTGTCCTCCCACAGGTCACCTGCTCTCTGAAAAGCACATGCAAGACACTAAAGGTGCAACCTAGGGAAAAGTCCAGAGGGGGAAGACCATTACAACAGCTTTGTGATGTGGGAATGTAGGAGGGAGTGTTGGAGGACCAGGAGCTATCATAGCTACCTGCAAGAATGGAAGAAAAACCACTGTTTCCCACCTCCAGGGACTCCCTGACCCCTGTGCTAGTCCCCAAGTGGAGGCTAAGTGTGTGAAAATTAAAAAAAAAAAATTTCTTTTATTATGTGTAGAAGTATAGAAGTATATTGTTTGCATGTGTGTAAATGTGCCCATGTCGTGCAATGCCTGGGAAGGTCAGAAGAGGGTGTCAGATTCCCCTGGAACTGGAATTACAGACGGCTGTTAGCTGACCTGTGGGTGCTGGGAATTGAAGCCAGGTCCTCTGCAAGAGCAGCCAATGATCTTAACTGCTGGGCCATCAATCCAGGCCCACGTGGAAATTTTTATCTGCTTCCCAGCCCAGGCCCCAAAGGAGGAACTCTGGTCCCTAGACTCCTTCAAGAGGTGGGAGATGCCTGGCTCCTTCAGATCCAAGGCTTCAGCACTACTCCCAGACAAGCCCGCTGGGAAGTTAAGAAGCTCAGGAGATTGTTGTTGTTTACTAGGAAAGGAGGAGGGGCGGGAAACCTACAGGCTAACGG